GTCTTCAGCCTTTGGCTCTTCCTTTTGCTACTGGGTAACGCAGAGGAATGAAAACTAATCCCAGCTCGTAAGAGTTTCTCGTGCCCTCTGTGCTTTGAAAATATGAGCTAATTCAATCCGTGATTGCCAGGTGTGAGGAAACAGATGTCAGGTTTATCTGCGGCCACATGGTCTGGAACTTGCAGGCAGGCTTTGAACCTCTCCAGTTTGCTTGACATCTTCTCCATGACCTCGCTGAAGTGCACACTTACTTGGTACTACTGGACTACAAGCCCTTGCTTGCCCAGTAGCAGGTCCTGATAGGATCCCTGCCTATACCACCAAGGGCATTCTCTTGCTACCTTGACACAGAGTTACTCTACTAACTTGCTAGTTGTTCCCTGAACTCTGCTGCCTTACTTCTCCCGTATGGATTTGTTTGGAGTACCTTCATTTCTCTCATCATCACCCAAATTCAAACCTATTTCATTTCTAGGTCTCAAATAACTAAGGGGTCAGTCTTAAGCCTCCCTTCACTGAACTGCCTCCCACCCAGTCCGTTTTCTGCAGGGAAGGCTTTAGTCTTATGAAGGTGAAAATACTATTAAAACCAACCTGCCCTTTGCACCCACACTGATTTATCCCCATTTCCCACCAACCTGTCCCTTACTATGTAAGGCTATGTCACTCCCCCTGTATCTACTCCAAGAGGGATGGAAATGATGGAAATATGTCCATGTATAACCTACATGAATATTCATAGTAGCCTTAGTTACAACTCCCCAGTGGAAATAACCCAATTTTTCATCATCAGATGAATATGTGTTTATACAGTGGAATATTTTTGAACCATAACATAAAATATTGCAAGTTATATCATGCCCAAACCAAGAAAAATATTTCAGTTTTGAAGGTGATGTGTTATAATAATGACATGTGTAGGAAATGTTCAGAAGAGCTAAGTCCATCAGACAGTAGATTAGTGGCCACTGGTGACTACGGGGAGATGGGGAGTTAGGATTAACTTCTAATAGTGATGGGTTCTCTGTGGAGCGAAAGGTTTCTGCATTAGAGGTGCTGATTGAACAGCACATCTGATATGCAAAACTACTAACGACAAACTTGACAGCAATGACTCTTGTATGCTTCAATTAAAAAAGAATGTTTAAAAGTCAACACTGAAATTGGAATATCCCATTTGTTTGTATGAGAGAGCATTGCATTATCTGTGCATGAGCTTACATACTCTGGAAAAATTTTCTAGAATGATCCTTCATGCCACTTCTGTGGTTGGGTGGAGAACGAGGCTTTTAGTACACCCTAGATTCCCTTTGGCATTGAGTTTATTATTTAGTTGTGTTGTGTGTGTGTGTGTCTGATGTATGTGTGTGCCATAGTAGGTGGGGGTCAGAGGACAGCTCACAGCAGTCAGTTTATCCTTCCATCATGCAGGTTCTAGGGGTTGAACTCAGGTCATCAGGTTAGGTAGCAGGTGCCTTTAAGCACTGATCCATCTCACTGGCCTTAGTTGATTTGTTTTAGGCCACAAGTAGTTAGAAAATAAATGCTAGATTTAGAAATTATTTTCTAGGGAAAATGTTTTGATAGTCCCTTTAAAAAAACATAAAGTTATCATGCAATCTTAGAGTTTGAGTTCTAGGTGCAGACTCAAAAGAGTTGAAAGCAGGGGCTTGGGTGAATGTGGTGATATTTTGTTTGTGCTTTAACAAATAAAGCTTTCCTGAAGATCCGAGTGCAGAGCTAGCCACACTAGTTAGCCATTGAGGCCAGGAAGTGGTGACACACACCTTTAATCTCAGCATTTAGGAGACAGAGGCAGACCAAGTTCTGTGAGTTCAAGGACACCCTGGGCTAAGTGAGGTTGAATCAATCTAAAAGAGAAACAGAGCCAAGTGGTGGTGGTTCACACCTTTAATCCCAGTGCTAGGGAGGTGGAGACAGGAAGTGGTATGGCTGGGCAGAGAGGGGAATACAAGGCAGGAGGATACAGGGGCTCAGGATTCAGTCTGAGGTTTTGTAGAGACAGCGCTTGGTCTGAAGACTTGTAGAGACAGAACACCTCATTTAATCTGAGGATTTCATAGAGGTAAGAACTAGTGGCTGGCTGCTCTGCCTCTCTGATCTTTCAGCTTTCACCACCAATATCTGACTCTGGGTTTTTATTATTAAGACCAATTAGAACTCGTGCTACAGGTAGACACATGCACACCTGTGCTCACACCAACATTCACAGTGACCGAATAGCTAAGCAAATGCAGTCCTCTATACAAGGCAGTCTTGCTCAGCCTTGGCACAGAAGGGCATTCTGCTATATGCTGTCATGTGGTTGAACCCAAGGACTTGACACTGGCTGAATGAGCTGGCAAGCACTATGTGATACTGCATTTGTGAGGCCTCTGGATCACAGAATATATAGGAAGGCAGTAGGGAGGGGACAGTATCTGCTTGGGGCGATGACAAGCTCCTAGACCTGGGTAGTGGGGACTGCTACATTGTACCATGGTGTGCTTTGGATCACTGGACTGCACCCTGAAAAGTGTTTGGGGTGGTGACTTTGTTCTGTGTGTTTTACCACAGTAAAAGATGAAAGAAAATGTGCTGGAAAGCAGTGGCTAGCATGTGGATGTTATTCTTGTCTACATTCTCTGCTGTTTTAAGAGTGTCTCAGTAACTTTTAGGGCATCCTTTATGGGGTGCATTCAGCCTCCTGGGTTTGCAGGGAGCCATCTTACTGGTCCTGCACTGCTCACTCTCCTCTGGTTCTCTAGGCCTCCTGAGCCAGGTCTCCAAGGAATACTCTTCTGCTGCCATCCCTTCCAGGTTTTGGTGCTCAGGTCCTGGCTCCAGCGAGGATCAGGGAAGCCACTGTGGTTTTCAAGTGGAGGTAGGACATGCTGTTGTTACACTTTGCAAGCATCTCCCCTGGAGTATGCCTACGCTGAGGATGGAGGCAAGGGACTACATAGAGGCCACTGAGCAAAACTGGCCTCACTAAAAACAGAGGAGGCTAGTCAGCACAGGGCCCATCCCACACCGCTGAGCCCTGATTATCTATACTGCTGTGTTGGTGGACACTTTTCAGAAGCTCACCACAAGGCTGTTGCTTGTTTTTGAATGCTACCATATGTATTTACTTTATTTTAGAGTTGTGTGTGTGGTGTATACTAAGTATGTATGTGTACTAAGAATGTGTTCTACCACTGAGCCTCCCCCAGCCTTTTAAAAGGACTACATTTTTTATAGGCAAACATGTTCCTGACTTTTAGGAGAAAAATAGAATAGGCCCAGCCTAAACCAGGTATATATGTAATTATAATCTCATTATATTTCAGTTACACTTCTATGAGCTAGAACTAAATTTACTTTAAATGAATTAAACCGTCAAAATTTACAATTCAATTTCCTGTCACACATGCCACATCCGAATAATGAATATGTCACATGAGGTATCCATTCTACTGAAGACAAGGGCTAGCAGCTTGTGTTGACTGTTGCCTACCGTACCCTTCACACTGCAGGGAAGTTCCTCTACAGGGAAGGGTTAGGGCTCTGTATGACAACAGTGCACACACATTAGGTATAGAGTAGAAGGGGCTGCTCCAGTGCCATCCTCTGCCTGATCCTCTGCTGTGATAGCACACAGAGGATAAAGAAAAACCAAGATTATCTCTCAACAGAGATCTAGGTATCATGGCTTTGCTGGGCATATTTGGAAACTGAGGCTCAGAGACCCTGATCTCTCAAGGAAGGATGTCTGGCTTCACACCTACTTTTCAATGTAGGAAAATTCTTGTTTTATGCAAGAAATAAAGATCAAGCTACCAGAAAGCAAGTTTTGACCTCTGCTATGGTTCAGCTTATTCAAAAGGGTGTTGGGAAGTGGTGGAACCTTTGGAGGCAGAGCTGGTGGTAGGTCTTTGGTTATTCAGGACATGCCCTTGGGGGGCTGTAGGACTTGGGTCCAAACTTTCCTTCTTTGCTTCCTGGCTCATAGTGTAAGCATTTTGTTCTATCATGTGCTTCCTGCCATTGTCATTTGGCACTGCTGCCAGAGCAATATCACTTCTTGATCCTGGGTGGGGATCTCCAGAAGTGTCAGCCATAACACCCTTTTCTCTTGCCATGCATGTTTGATTACAGTAACATCATTAATAAAGCATCTTTTTGTGTTTGCATCAGACTGAATTACGTTTTCCTAAGACTTGGTGTCTCCTTAAATCTAAATAACTGCACAGGAAAGCCATTGGTTACTCTTGACAGTGAAGTAGGACTACCAAACCCAAATCTCTCAGTTCTGCTCCCACAGTGAGCATCATGGTCTATCCTGGATGGAGGTTGCTGGAGGACCCTGATGTCTTCCATATGGCACTCTGGGGAAGACAAAGGGTTCCTTCTGTCTGGTCTTATACCAGTGTGAGCCAAACATGACAGTCTCATAGCAGCACAACTTTTCTGGAACCAGGCCAGTGTTCTCAAGGGTCTTTCTTTTCCTTTTCTCTCATCCACCTTTGGGTTTTCCTCTTAGTCCTGGTTCAGCTTAGGGGACAACAAGCCTATGGTACCCACAGCAGGAGATCTGGCTTGGTGAAGGCTGAAGAGAGGGCACAGGGCAACAGGGTGGTGGGAGGGGCCCTGAAAGCTGAGGTTTGGGGTAGGTAGGAGGCACGATAAAGTAGTAGTAACTTCTAGAGGAAGGTCCAAGGAAGCACAGCTACCCAATTCTCTTTGCCAGGGCCCCTGCTCCAGAGGCAAGCCCGGTGTAGATCTGGTTGGTCTTTCTGAGAAGGGTGTAAGATTCCAGCTTTAAGCCAACGTAACTCCTGCGGGATTCCAGATCCCAAACAGACACCCAGGAACCTCAAGAAGTGGTTAATTCTGTTTTTCAGATTCACACAGCTGGCCTGGAAAGTGTCTTCTCTCCACATGTCCCAGTACCTGGCCACCTTGCTCAGACATGGTGCTACCCACTCCCCTTGCCCAGTTTAAACCACTCATTTGCCTCTACTTTATTCTTTATTTCCTGCCTGTACTCAGCATCAAGGACCTAGTGTGGGTGGGGTGAGCGAATGGCTAGGAGAGCGCTGTAGGGACAGTGTTGGACAGGAGACTGAACAGCACTCTGAGAATGCCACAGAGAGTCCCGGCAGACTGTTGCCAGCTTAGTCAGCATTCGAAATTTCTTCCCATCCAAGCTGGAGTCCACTCTACCTCAGGTTTAAGGACCTTCACATAAATGAGACATGCCCTCCATCGCAGGGCTCTCAAGCCACTGGTCAAAGACAAGTGCTTCCACCTCTTTAGGTGTCTGCGGTTCACTGTGTGAGACACTAGGAGCACTAGGCTGGGATGCGGGGGGAGGGTGGTGGCAGAGGGAAGGGGGACACCAAGAGGATATCAGTTCTTCTCAGGGCCGCAGGGCCTGCTGTAGCACCTGTTCATCTGCCACCTCATGGGGAAGCGTCACCACCAGGCCATTGTTCTCCTGCATTGTCTGGCAGATGATCTCATAGGCCTTGGGGTTCCCAGACCAGCAACGCCGTGCCACCTACAGATGCCAAGGACAAAGCGTTGGTATCAACATCACTGGGCTCTCCACATGGTATCCTGGCTTGCCAACTTTATGCCCTCTGCTTGGGGATTTCAGAACCTCCTTTGTATCTGCCAGGCTTAGAATCCCTGCTCTCTTACCTGGAACAAGTAACTAATTTACCCTCTTTTCAATCTGAAACCAGTTATTATTCTGGCCAGCTCTCTTCCCACCTCTGAGAATGACCTGGCATTTATAGAGGACACCCCCCTGGGTAGAACAAGTTTATCCCTAGTGCCCATCCCTTCCCCTTTCAGACTCCTCACCATCAGCTACACGATCCCTCCCTAGCCCACTTCCTCTCTTATACCTGGGCTGTCCTAAGTGGTGACTATGGCACCTCCCCATCTGTCTGCCACCCACCATCTCTAAGCCTCCTCTGGCCTATATCTACACCACTGATAGTGAGGTCTCCTGGGAGGAAGCCCCATCAAGACTCACTCCAACTCCTAGTGTCAGGATGTAGACCCCCCCCTCTCCTGTTGAAGTTCTGAAGCTTAATGGTTCCTGGTGAATGGCCCTACCAGAGGCTCCTTCCCTTTCCCCTGCCTCTGGGTACAACCTCAGTCATTTAGAGCTACTGTCTTCACTCTGGTTCTTTGCTCTGGAATCCCTCTGCGGTTTGCTCATATCCTGTATACCTTTCCTCATCATCACCTGACCTCTGACCTCAGGTCAACCCTTCTGGGCTGCTTGTGATGTGGTTTGGGAGAGGAATCTGCCCCCTCCCCCCCCAGATGCTGTTACTGCAAAGGTGGGTCATAGTAGCAGGATGAAAGGTCCATCGAGCTGCGGAATGTGCTTGTTGGCTGCCTTCGAAGGTGACAGTGAGGGTTGGCGTAGCTGGGGTATAGCACCTGCCTGACATGGGCAATGGCCACCCAGGCAACAAAAAGAAACAGCAATACAAAGCAGGGAAAGATGGGCTGATGTGGGAAGTGATGGATGCTGTGAATATGTTTTATTGCCATTGGTTAATAAAGAAGCTAGCTATTTTCGGTCAATGGCTTAACAGAATATAACCAGACTGGAAGATGTGTGTGTGTGTGTGTGTGTGTGTGTGTGTGTGTGTGTGTGTACATATATATGTATGTGTGTATGTATGTTATGGGAGTCAGTGAGAAGCCATGTAGCCATCTACCAAAGATAGACATGCTGGAACCTTGCGGTAAACCACGAGCCTTGTGGTAAAGTATAAAATAATAGAAATGGATTAAATTAAGATATGATCTAGCTAAAAAGACACTTAAGCTATTGGCCAAACAGTATTGCAAATGATATAGTTTCTGTGTGCTTATTATGGGACCGGGCCGGATGGAAACCTCTTCCAACAATGGGCCTTAAGAGGGAGATCATGAGGCCAGGGCACAGCAAAATGCCAGAGCTCAACATGCCTGAGGCACTGAGTTCCATCCCAGTCCCCAAAGAGTGAAGCCTCAACACCAGTATAGGGGGTGCTTCAGTGGAAGGGCTGAACCTGCCAGGGTCCAGCTGCATTTACAGAAGCTAGACTTCAGGGTGAGATCAGAGACAAGGAAACCCAAAGGAAAGTGTGGAAACAGTTGGGAAGGGGTGGTGCAAAGGAAACCCTGGGGTCTGGAGAGATGGCTCAGCAGTTAAGAGCACTAGTTGCTCTTCCACAGGACCTAGGTTCAATTCCCAGCACCCATATGTTGGCTCACAACCATCAATATCTCTACTTCTATAGGACCTGATGCCCGTTTCTGACCTCTGAGGGGCACCAGGCACACACATAGTGTGAAAATATGCAGACACACTCATATACATAAAATCGAATAAAAATAAATAAATCCTTAAGAAAGAGGGAGCCCAGGAAAGTCTGGAAAGGTAATAAAGGCTCTTACTGGGGAAGGGTCAGAACTGAAGCCTAGACTTCCAACCTGGAGGCGGAGCCATGGAGAAGAAGGGGGAGCAAGAAGGTGAGGAGTTCTGGGAGACTTACACCATTGGAGACATCCCAGCTGAGCATCATCCTGGCTTTCTGCTCAGCCTGTGAGGTCCCATCTAGCACGAGGCCAAATCCCCCATTGATCACCTCGCCCCTGCAAGAGACAAAGGAGTTCCCGGTTCACTCCCTGTGTAGAATTGCTTAGAGCAGACATCATGCAAGGTTACAGGCATTGACCTGAGAAGATATCAGCTTTGGGGGAGCCTTGTCCCATTGGCCTCTACATCACAGATCCATGTGGTCAGCAGAACAGAGTGGCAGCATCCTGGCTTCTCAGCCAGTTATGCTTCTGAGCTGGTCTGGTCTACTTTATATATACTTCCAAGACCTTCTCTTTATCATGGTCTGCTCAATGCCTGTTTGTCCATCGGAATGGGAAGCAATCATTCTTATTGTACCCAGGGTTTTGTACATGCTAGACAAGTGTTCCAGTACTGAGCTACACCCAAGTCTGGGACAGTGCTCTGAGAAGGGAGGGCGGTTGCTTCTCACGACCCTCTGAAGTGGCCATAAAGAAGGCTTCTTGGCACACAAGATGCCATGGCACAGGTGGGCTGCTAGTTGCCCAGACTCACTGACTGCCCCGAGACTGCCTGTGTTAACTTACCTGATCTCTGAAATGATCCTGTGACACATGAAGCCCACCCCCTTGCAATCCTTTCCTATAGAAAGAGCCCAGAGAAGCCTTTGCTAAGGTACAATCTCTTCCACTCAGTGACTTGGCCAAATGTCCCTGTCCTCAGTGACTTGGCCAAATGACACATCCGGGAGCACAGGGAGCTGCAGCCAACTCTTGTTCTCACTAAGCTTGACTAATGGACACACGGCACAAAGGCAGTCGCTAAGCAGATACTCCAAAAGAGCGACCATGAGGAGGCAGAGGTCATGGAGTGCACTACAGTTGACACAGAGCTATGGGAGGTGACCCTGCACAGAGAAGAACCTGTCCACATCCCAGAAAGGGAAGAAGCAAGTCAAGAAGCCTGCGGACAAACAGCTCTCTCTCTCTCTCTCTCTCTCTCTCTCTCTCTCTCTCTCTCTCTCACACACACACACACACACACACACACACACACACACACACACACATTCCTGCCAAATGAGGAAGAAACCAAAGCCACAGAACTGGGTGTGACTTGTCCTTGGAGAAGCAACGAGTGAGAGCCGCGTTCCTCAACCCTTTATGCAATAGGGCTAGAACCCAGGACTTCCCTCATCCTCCCTAGTAAATCCCTAGCCTGCCTGCTGCTTTTGTCTTGTGAGGCTTTGGACAAATTTCAGCCTCTGTCACAGTCACGGTTGTCCCCTCCCTTGCATCCCACAACCAGGGAGCTCTTGTCTGTGCTGTTCTCCAGCTAGGACATGCACTCTGGTCACATTTTCCATTAATTAAAGCCACCTGACAGGGCTGCAGCTTGGAATTCCAGCCTTGGTGGGCAGGAGGCCAAGCGGGTCATCTGAATACTCTGGAGAGCTGGTTAATGGGAGGAATCGGCTCTTCAGGACAAAGGCTGGCCTGGATCCAGCTCATACTGGCTCAGGTCTTCTCCCTCTCTGAGACCTAGCACCCAGGGCTCCAGTTTTAGCCTGCTCTGGGGATCCCTGACAGGAAACCTCCTCAGCAGAGGCAAATCGTCTGTGCCTCAGTCTCCTCATCTGTAAAAGCCTTTGCCCTTTCTTTGCTTCTGTGAGAGGGAAGATTGAAAGGGATCAGCAAACGATGCTGCATCGTCCATGTCTGATGAACCTGAGTTAATACTCTTGGCAGGAGAGGAATGGCCAATGCCAATCAGAATGAAACCCCACAGTCCGGATTTTCAGTGTTCCCTTGAGGGCGGTGGTGGGACTTCATGGGAGGGGGGAGGCTCTTCAGATCACTGAGGAAGGGCCCTTGCAGGACCACATGGGATCCCAGTTTCTTCTTTTCCCTGGCATGGATGAATGGCTCTGTCCCCACCCCTAGAGGCTCCTGCCCTGCTGTGCTGCCTAAAACAGTGTGGCCGACTGACCATGAACTGTGAAGCCGTGAATCAGATAAACATTTCCCCTGTACAAGCTAGAGACCATGTTTGTTACAGGCAAGAACAATGGCTAACACAGAGGCCACCACAGAGTCCTTAATGACCCTGCCCTGGTGCTGGCTGGAAAGCGACCTGTGTGAACACAACTGTGAGCTGGGGAGAGTGGGGAGCCTAAAATCTACTGTCCTGACAGCCATGGACTCCTGCTCTTTCAAGTCAAATAGTTATGGTGGAATTGGAATGTAGAAACGAACATGGCTGTTGCTCATGCTAGCTTTTGTGTCCTACATGACAGGTTTAGGCCAAACTGCTGGAGTTGCTTTATAGAAGTCTCCCTCTCTGTTCTTCCATCCTCCACACCCCAACATACTGACCCTCTGGTTCCCAGTTCACATGAGGACTGCATTTGCATAAAACCCTCAATAGAACAAGTGGCCAGGGATCTAAGTCCAAGAACCTCAGGCCCCTGGACCTGTCTCTGTCCCAAGAGGTCCCCACAGTCTCCACACCAGGCTACAGTCTGCTCTCTGACGCCTTCTTACCAGCCCACACCTCCTCCATTGTGAAGAGCAACCCAGGTGGCACCACGACAGGCATCTCCCACGAAGTTCTGCACAGCCATGTCTGTAGAAACAGGGCAAACATGACCCATCATTCCTTGCACTAGGTGGTCTGGGTGCCAGATAGACTCATGCTCCTTCTTGGGACTGGAGAGCAGTGTGACAGTGGACAAGTGGGGAACAGAGACAGGGGAGTCTGGAAACAGGAAGCAAGAGAAACTGACGAAGCCTGTCATGCCTATTATCCTCCCCCCCACTTCCATACTCTCTTGCACTAACTGCTCATTCATGCCTAGGGCAGGCATTGCAAATGAATGATGCTTCTTGACTCCATCAGAGAAGTGAGGTCCCCATGTTGGCTGCTGGACAGGTATTCGAGAGGCCCAGTGGGTGTGCTGCCCCTTTCAGCACTGCCAGCCCTCCTCTAAGTAGTACTTTTGCTTCAGATAGGGCTCTCCAGAGAAACCCAGAAGTTTTAGATGACTTCAGATGATTCAGTCTTTTAGATGACTTAGAGAAAAATTTGCTTATTATCACACTATTCTACCCAGGAGGTATTCCTATCCAACATTTTTCTTTTGGAAAGGGCAATGTATAAAGCTGCAAGAGCTCCATCTGAGCATGCTTAGTTGTAATGTGTCTTTCTATATGAACCTGCATGAGATTTCCCAATGAAGAACCTCTGGCTTCCTTTGTCTGTTGCTTTGGCTGTGGTGCCAGTGCTTCCCCATGGCCTACAAGTAATTATCTAGCACCTCTTATTTCCTCAGCTGCTTTGCTGCGCCAGGGACAAGCCCAGCATTACATGGCAGCCATGTACCCAGCAAACTATGGAGCCAGGCACCCAGGGGAAGCAAAGCCCCAGCTGGTTGCCTTCTAAGCATCTAGCATGTTGAGGACAGGTGTGAGGAGGTCAGTGACTGTTGCCACTTTGCCACCCTGGAGACACAGGCATAAGACTGCAGCTTCCTCTTGTAGCTCTTTATCCACCTTCCCCTTCCTCCACCCCAGTTCTCACAGAGATTAGGGAACCTAGGCTCTCCCTGGTGCTGGGTGAGGAAGAGGAGGAGGGAGGACAAGAACATGCAGCCTGTAATCTGGAAGACAGGGAATCTAATTCCCCCCTTTGAGATGAGGTCTCTGTGTCACCCAGGCTGCTTCTAATTTTTTTATTTTATTTATTTTCATTTTTTATTTTATTTTCTGCTTTTTCAAGACAGGTTTCTCTGTGTGGCTTTGTTTTGTTTCATTTTTTTTCCCCGAGATATGTTTTCTCTGTGTGACTTTGGAGCCTGTCCTGGAACTAGCTCTGTTCCAGGACAGGGTGACCTCAAACTCACAGAGATCCACCTGCCTCTGCCTCCCAAGTGCTGGGATTAAAGGCGTGTGCCGCCGCCACCTGGCTACTGCTTCTAATTCTTAAGCTCAAGCTCCCTGTGCCACTCAGCTGCCAGAGGTGCTGTGACTAAGGATGTGCATCTCCTCCGCTGGCTAATGCTAAGGGCCAATGATCCTTTCATTTTCCTCACCTGCACAGAAGGCAGAACCGTCATAAATATTGGAAGTCTCCCTGAAGGGGCTGTCAGTCCCACTCACATCATGGTGGTCACGGCTCAGGACCACTGGGGCCTGTAGGGGACAGGGAAGGGCATGTCAGTCAGTGGTGTCTACCAGGCTTTTTGACATGAAGTAGAGGAGGAGAGTGGGGCCACTCCAGACACCATTTGGATTTTTTCCCCTTGAAAATAGACCCAGTCTTAGAAATGATAGGATTAAAGGGTAGATTATTGCATCTACTTTTAAACTAAAAAGCAACTACTAATATTTTACCTTGGTATAGATTTTTATCTATTGATACAAATTTAAGGTTAATTTTGTTATAACATACTATATATATGCTTTTACTTTTGTATAATATATTGTACCTATACAGTTCATTTTAAAATGTAAAGTTCTAGTTCTTGAAAGTTATCACAAACTATTTAGGATAGTTAAGAAATGCAGGTTAGCGGTTAATTATCTATAGCAATCAAACTTGTAGTCATGTTAGGTATATTTTCAAAGTCAAACAGATATATTTTAGGTAGATAAGTGACCTTCAAACACTTCAGAGATATATAGAACATATAGAGATATATAGAACATATAGAGATATATAGAACATATAGAGATATATAGAACATTTAAGATGTTGTAATAATATAAGGCTTTTTATGACAGTGAGATATGTGTGCTCCTGATAGCACTGATCTACTTCAGAGATGCAGCTAGCCTTCCCAACCATTGACAGTGGTTCTTGGAAATTTAGAGGCTCACCTAATATGATGCAACATGCTGGGAGGCTCGAGGATGCCCCAAAACTCAGAACCCCTCAGCTGCCCTTGCCTTCCGTGAGCAGGCCATGCTGTGCCTATGACTTCATCTCTGCAGTGGAATTGTTCTCTGGCACCTCTGGTCATTCAGGGTTCAGCTGAATGCCAGAACTTCAGGAAGGCCTGTCCTTCATCTCACCTGGCTCATGTTTCCCCGTGCCTCATGGCACCTGTAAACACCTCCTAGCGCATACCTGCAGTTAGGTAAATACCCCCTAGCCCATACCTGCAGTTAGGTAAACATCATCTCTCTTTATTACAGCAGCTCCAAGCTGGAACTTTGCCCATCATACCCCTGCTGTGTCCCCCAGAAGGCATCAGCACAGTAGAACTATCAAACCTTGTCCAGTGAACGAAAGTGGGAGAGCACTAGCTTGGGTGTGAGCAGGGGCTTCTCCGCAGCACGCCCCCCCCCCCACACACACAGTAGGCGTCTGGGAAGCATCCCAAAGAGCTCAGGATGTTGTTCTTGCTGTGGTGCCACCCTGGGCTCTGACCCTGAGCCATGTGCAGGGACGGCCTTCCACACCTCACACCTTTCTTTAGTTCACCTTCACCTCCGAGTAACACTCCCAGTACTTCTGACAGAACAATGTCACCAGGAACAGGACACAAGTCCCCAAAACAAGAAGGAAAGGAGCAAACAACTTCTTTCAGCACATGACCTCAGGGTTCTGGGTCCCCAGAGGAGAGAGGAAAGTAAGTAAACCTGGGGACATTTGTCACGGTTTGAACAAGATCATTCAGAAAAGATGTGCGGAGTTATTTTGTGGACTGTGACTGATTTGATCCTCACACTTACTGATTTGATCTATCAGCACACTATTCTTCCTACAGAATAGAGAAACTCTGGGTCACAGTAACCTGACTTACCCAGGTCACAGCAAAAGAAACACTGTTGGGACTTGTGTTTGAACAAGCCTGCTCCCTCTTTGTTTCTAGTTCCCTCGTCACAATGACATATGATCAGGGCTGGGGTTCTGGGAGGATGTGAGGCCCTCCGTGCTCTTAAGCAGGGCCTGGTTCCCAGGGCAGCTCTTATCTAGGCCCCTCTGCTTATCCGTTCCACCAAGTCCAAGGCCTTCAGGGAACCTAGTACCCCTACCAGGGAACTCAGCCAGGGGAGGGTAAAAGCTCCCTGCTACTAGGTCAGGGTGCTGGTGGGAGCAGCTTTCTCAGAAGGTTGAAGAGGTGGGGAGGGTAGACTTGAGTGTGAGCCTAAAGTCCGACTTGGGAAACCCCCAAGCAGAGCCTGTGTGAAAAGTGTGTGAAGCCTCCTTGAAGCACCACAGGCTGTCTCACTCACCTTGATCTTCCCACTGGCAATGGCCTGGTTGATGGCCACAGCAATAGCCACACGTCCTTTCTGGTCTGAGTACAAGATCCTCGCCTGGGAGCCCACCACCTGCAGAGGAGAGAATGAGAAAGCCCCCCAGCCTAAAGCAAGCATCTCAGCTAGCGGTATAGGAGAGATGTGAATGATACTACAGAGCCCTGTTACCTGGCCAACTCCAGCCTGCTGGCCCTTCTAGGGAGAGCTCAGAGGACCCTGAAATGCATGGAAATGCTAAAGTATGGGACCCTGGCAAACCTCTCTCATCAAGCCCATTATACACCACGTTGCTGGGCCAATGCATGCCCACACATTGCCTTTTCTTGAGGTTGAGGCCACCTCACTCTTTTCTATGTCATTTTCCTTAGGGTCCATTCCTGAAGGTGCCCAGAGACTGATTCCATGTGTACCATGCGGGATTCTTACTGTGGACCCTGCCCCTTTGAGCCTCTTTCACATCAGAGCCTCCAATGTGAGACTTGATCAAGCCTGACCTACTGAGAGTACTGTCCCCACAGTCCACAGCTGAGTCCCCAGGAAGATACTGCATTCTTGTCACAAACTTGATCACACAGATGAGGAAACAGACTCAGACAGACACTAAAGTCTTACTGAGCTCAGAGTTAGCCCGGGAAGTGGAGTCAGTTGTTTATTTTTTTTTCCCTGCAAGTGTGAATCCTTGCTGTGAGGTGTTCAGATTTCTTGGGGGAAATGAAGAAGAACTGGTATAAAATGGCTTGTGGTGGTTAATCTTCATTGTGAATCCGACTGGATTTATAATGGCCTTGGGAACACATCTGTAGTACACTAGGAAGAGTTTAGGAAGGGCTCGCTGAAGAAGGAAGGCTTCTGAGGTGAGCAGCACCATCTCCTTGACTATGAAAAGCAGGAAGCAAGCCGATCGAGCTTCCTCTGCCTTCTGGCAATGGATACAGTGTGGCCAGCTACCTCGAATTCCTGTCTCTATAGCTTCCCAGCTGTGAAACCATGTACCATACTAAATGTTGTCCCCTCCAGTGGCTTCTGGTCAGGTATTTGGTCAGGGCACTGAGAAGGACAGCAAACACAACTGCCAAGTTTATCAAGAATGTCGTAGATAAAAAGAATCACCAGCTTTCAAGAGAACGATCACTTCCTCTCAAAGGTGGACATCACGATCTGCTTGCTGGTCTGTGACATGTGCAGCTGACTTTGAACCCACCCCTTATAGCAGCCCCTGACAATGGCATCCCTGCTGCCAGCTCTGCCTCTATTCCTCCCACCTCTCTGGATGGTTTGTGTATTCTGTCTGCAGCACTTCCTTTACTCTGTCCCCAGCCCCAGGCTCCCTGGCTTGGACTTGGGTCATAGAGACTGAAGGTGGCATATGGGGGTTTTATGGAGACACACATGCAAAATGTAGCCCTAGGATGGGATGGGCCATGATGGGGACAGTTTCCTTCTGGCCCTGAGACCTCTGGCCAGGGACCTGCTGGTGAGCAAAGTCATGTGTGGACCAAATGTTTCTACTTTAATTCCCTCAGTCCTCCCATCATCTCTAACCAGGGCCTGCTGGCTGTTCTCTATTAATAGACACCTTTCTGACCAACCATCCATCCATTCTCCTACTGGTGTTGTCCTTTACTTACGTGCTCAGTTCTGGGCCTGGCAGAGCTGTGCGGGGTGGGGGGGGGATCACAGAGGCCCAGTGCAAGCCAGCACCACTGCCTCCATGTCATAGATGGAGGTTGAGCCACTCACCCAGGGCATTTTTTGGGAGTGCCACAGAACCAGCTCACCTCCCACAGGAACTCCAGAGACTGTTTATGGAGTGATTGGATGAAGGATTACCTTGCTAACTGTTTCAGAGTCCCAAGCCACCCTTCTTATCCTCTTCATAAAAAAATTTGGTAAAATATATTGTCCTGGCTAGTTTTATGTCAACTTGACACAAGCTAGAACTATGTGAAAGGGGCGAGTTTCAACTGAGAAAATGCCTTCATAAGATCCAGAAGTAGGGCATTTTCTTAGTGATTGATGCGGAAGGGCCTAGCCCATTGTGGGTGGTGCTATCTCTGGGCTGGTGGTCCTGAGCTCTATGAGAAAGCAGGCTAAGCAGGCTATGATGAGCAAGCCAATAAGCAGCACCCCTCCATGACCTCTATATCAGCTCTTGCCTCCAGGGTCCTGCCCTGTTTGAATTTCTGTCCCAACTTCCTACAATGATGGACTACAACATTGGCGGAAGTGTAAGCCAAATAAACCTTTTCCTCCCCAACTTGATTTTGGTCATAGTGTTTCATCACAACAATAGGAACCCTAGCTATATGCATATAACAAATTTGACTGCCTTAATAATGTTTAGCATGCTGCTTGGTGGCATGAACCACCTCATAGTGCTGTGCAGCTGGCCCCACCATCCAGCTCCAGGACCTTTTCATTCTCCCTAGCCAAAACTCTGTCCTCATGAAACACTGACTCTGCACACTCTCCCCAGTCCTGGGACATACCCTGCCACTTCCCTGCTTATGGCTTGCCTACTCTAGGGTCTGCATGTGAGTGACATCTTGCATGGGTTTGTCCTTCTATGACTAGTTTATTTCTCTTAACATTGTATCCCTCAGTTTTACCCAGGTGTCAGTGACTGGCAGAATGCCTTTACATGTTGCTTTGTGTGGAGAGACATTTTGTTGATCCATTTGTCTACCAAGAGCCCTTTGGATTGCCTTGGCATTTTAGTTACAGTATCTATAGCACCCCGAAATCGGTTCCAATCCTGTTAGGGTCTACAACCAGCATGGAATGACTAGATTACAATGCCTTACACTCCCACCAACATTGTCTAAGGTTTCCAGTTTCTCCATGTTGCTACCTAGACACCCTTTTACAAGCTCTTTCCTGGATAAGGTGGCTGCCACGATGCTGCTGTCAGCAGTAACATTGATGCAGGGCCTGCACCTTCTCAGGGCATTCAAGATGGGTACTGGGACTGTGCTGAGACCTCTATGACTGCATCCTGTTTCTGGGCAGTTTCTTGACAGCTCAGCCTCTTTCATGCCTCTGCAGTACTCATCTTCCCCCAAGCCAAGCTCTTACCAGCTGGTGCTTAGCAGCCTCCCGGATCCAGCGGATGTTATCCATATACTGTAGCTTAACGGATGCTTTCACTGCAGGGAACAAGGGGAGGGATATCTTAGGACCTGGAAACTGCTGCCCAGGGGCCCTAGCTCTCTTTTCTGCTGGATGTTTGCAACAGGCACCTGGAGACTTTGGGTGATTCCCCCTACACTAGCCGTTCTGCATCTGGGAACCAGTGTGCAGTGATAACACGAACTAACATATGGGTCTGTGCAGCCCATCACTGATGCATTCATTCCCTCAAAGAACAGATATTGAGGACCAATTGTGTACCAGCCACTGAGCCAGGCACAGGGACAAGAATGCCAGTTGGCTATGAAGAAGAGTGTGAGGAACTGGTTGCTGGGGTGATGCTTTAGAAGGTTGCTGGTTACTGGGGTGATTGATACATTAGGGGATAAAGGTTCCCTAAGAAAGGGAAGATCAGAGTCCTCAATGCTGAGAAGCTCTGTGGAAACAGAATTACAGAGGGCACATCCAGCACAAAGGCCCGAAAGTAGGAATCCTTGGCCTACTCCAGGAGGAGGCAAAAGGAGGAGGGTGGCCATGGCAACAACAGGTCTGAGCAGCTCATGAGAACAGGCTGGTGATGTGAGAGCCGAGACTCAGCAGACAGCACAGAGAACATCGACATCTTACTTAAACAAACTCCGCTTTGAAAACTATATTCAGGGTAAAGGTGCACTCGAACTCATCCCTTTTGTTATTCTATGGTCCTGTGCTGTGCTCTGTGTCTTGGAGGCCCTCAGCATCTGTCTGCTCTACCTGGCGGGAGCTCCTCAGGCTGGAGTGTTCCTGCTCGGCAAGGGCAGGTCACATTGTAGCTGAACGCTGGCTGTGCTGGGGATTCTTAGCCATCACATTTGGAGGTGTGATAGCACCCAGCTTCTCTGTGGAGCACTGGGTGGTAGACACCTAGCTGACACCCAGTTGTGCGTGCTTAGGCCCAGGCAGCTGTTCTGAGCTAGAGAAAAGCTGAGAAGGTAATGGGCCAGATTTCCCAATATAAAACCCCAGCTACTTCCCTGAGCTTGGTCTGGCCTCCTCTTTGTACTTGACCGACAATGTCAAGTACATTAGAAAGGACGATGTGCTTCAAGAAAGCAGCAGAGACATGTAGACACAGGAAGACCACAGCCACCTAGCCAGGAGGCAGAACAAAACCTCTGCACCTATGATCAAGATGAGCTCAGGGGTCCAATGCTCAGAGAAGTTGAGCATTAGGTGAATGACAACAGGCCCTGGCGTGGGGGTGACATGCTCACAAAAGGCAGCTGAAGTGAATGGGAAGTGTTCCTGAAATGCATCAAACAAGGCCAATGCTCAAGTGCTTCCCTCCCCCATTCATGGAACCCGGGGCCTGCAGGAGAGTAGCTGGGTCAGAAAGGCCAGCCAGTTGTCAATATCTGGCAAACCCCAGGGATTGTGGGCCCAGTTGCCAGCCTGTGGCACCACTGGAGGATGATGGAACCTTTAAGAGGAGGGAGGAAGTGAGATCATTGAGGGTGTAGTCTTAAAGGAGATGTTGGGGTTACTTTTCCCTTTGGCTCCCAGGGGTGTTCCACTCCAAAATAATGGAACCATCTGACCACTGTTGAAGCCTTTGAAACCAAGAACCAAAAGGAAACCTCCCCAATTTAAGAAAGGGGCTGGCTCACTCAGGTGTTTGTCACAGTGACAGATAGCTGACTGACTTAAAGTTCCTTGTGCCTTGCAACCAGCAGAGGCAGAGGCAGAGATGAGCCCAGGACTGGGGTGGGGCGGGGGCATAGCCTGATACTTGGATGGGCTTCATGCTCTGAGCATCTTTGAGAGAGGAGAGTCTGAAAGTGCTTGAGGTCCCCTTGTGCCGTAACCTGTGGTCTCAAGATTTATGCAGAACACGACACTAGCTACCAGTTGTCCTACAGAAGCAGGGAATTTGGGAGGCCAACCACTCTTGAGTACCACCCACCCAGAAGTATCACCTCCGTCAGCAATGGCTTTCTCCAGCACAGATGTGGCCAGATGATCAGTGACAGCCAGGTCCTGGGGGTCCCCTGATGTGCATACCCAGCGGAAGGGCCCAAAGCCCTGGGAGAATATGTCCCTGCAAGGACAAATATCTCCTTAGCCACAACCTCCTGGGCTGCCTGCACCTTCTTGCTGAGCTATGGAGCGGCATGTAGGCATGCCTAGGGGATCTGGGCAGCAACCAGAATGAACTCAAAACAGTTGGCTTCTAAGCAATAAGTCTTAGCAATGAGGACATCCTTGCTCCTCTGCCTCCTCCTTGGACTCTGCTCCCATCTTTTAACTTGTACCACTTCACTTCTCCACTTCCTCACTTCTTCACTTCTGGAGCCGGCAAATGGAACAATGGAACAAAGACAGGCAGACATTTTCTCGAACTGCTCTTAGAAGGACTACACAAAGACCAATCATTTAAAGTAAATAGTTGAGAAAAGTGGGTGGGTGTGTTGACCTGGCCTGGCCTTCCGTGGTGACTCAGCTCCTGTGGCAGTTGAAGTGGGGCAGAGGGATGCTATAACCTCGGGTCATACTAACTCCATACTTGTCAAGCACGGCTGAGTACATCCCTGCTATCTCTTTCCTGCTTCTCTTCTCTGAGGAAAACCCAGCCACTCTGGACCCCAGTGTCCTAGCCCACCCTTGGTTCTGCTTCCACCCACAGCAGTAAAGCTCAGAAGACAACTTCTGCCTCTCTGGACTCCATCCAGAGATGTCTTACATTCTTCTCTGGCTCCCTCTGTACACACAGACAGACTTTAGACTTTTTGGTCTAAAAGTCCACCCTCCTTGATTGATCTACCTTGGTCCTGCTTCCTGCTGGGTCCCCTACTTCCCTATTTCCCTTGGGCTGCTGGCCCTTCTCAGACCTGCCCTGAACAACCAGATAGCACAAGACCTTCAAGCCACTGGGGGTCTTGGTCTTCAGGATTGAATCATCATCCTGGCTTTCTGGCCACATAACTTAGGAAAATGAGTGGATACATGGCAGGGTGGTGTGCACAGGGAGTGACCTTGGCTGTCAGAACCTTTGGTTCTCTGTCTTCTCACTGAGGCTCCGCCGAAGCCCCCTCTGCACTTGTGTGTTATGTGGAAATGCTGTGACCACTGTTTGTTACTTCCCAGCTGGGTGAGGTCTCAGCACACAGCCCTGTGGTGATCAGGGTTACAGGCCCTTCCAGCGGGAAAGGCCAGGTCCTAAGTCCAGAGAGGAGCAGAAAAGGTACTAGACACCCAAACATAGAACCCCCATCACTCACCCCATAATGTGCTGGACATAGGAGGGGTAGCGGAACTCCGTCTTGTTGGCTCCTTTCTTCTGGACATCTGCTCCTGTAGAGTCACCCATCTGTGTGAGCACCCATGACCACACAGACAGTGACTTAAATAAGGGGCCCTGGGAAAGTCTGGGAACAGAGTCTCAGGATTTTTCCTTTGGTGAAATAAGAGGTGACAAGCAGAGTGCAGCCCTGGATGGTATACTGACATCCGTGTGGTCTAGGTGTAGGGTATGGGTGTATTGGCCCACAGACTCAGTGTCAGCCCCAGAGCCACCACCCAGAGGACCCTGGTCCACTAGGTCTACAAGTGGCCCTCCCTGCAAATGACTGTGGAAAAAGGCCTGGAAGGAGAGAATTTCTTGTGGACCCTGGGCCTTTTATATTTTTCAAATGTAAGGAGAAGTTGAGGCTCAGAGAAGCCTGGCTGCCTGGCAGGACCAGCTTCAAGAAGGATGACCATGTGGCTGAGCTATGGGTATGAAACAGGGAGAAAAGAGTTTACCCAGGTATGCTCACACAGGTATGTATGCTCACACAGGTATGTATGCTCACACAGGTATGTACGCTCACACAGGTATGTACGCTCACACAGG